CTTGATGGAAACCCAGCCTGCAGCCGCTTCCATGAACAGTCTCTGCAAATCATCTAGCTGCCAGGCATTAAAATGCACGAATCGATTTAGGAAATTAATGTCCAGATTGCTAGGCGGCTCCTGGTGGAGGGGGGGTGGCTGGGTAAGTTACGCGGAGCCCACCACAGGTGATTCAAATGCCCAGCCATAGATACTCCGCCCCCACCACTTGGCCTGCCCGCGACTGAACAGAGCACCCGGCTGGTCGGTGTTTCACACTTACACCTCCGGAGGGGCAGCTGGTTTTGCCTTCGCTTGGTCGGTGTGATGGGACTGGATGAAAGCAGCCAGACACGACCCCGGCCCCCAGGAGCAAGCAAGGGGTGGATCTTGTCCAGGCCGCCCCAGAACATCCTGCCCCCTTGGGTGCTGGGGGCGGGAGGTGTGTTGATGCGCAACCGGCGCTGCACCCTCTGAGCGGGGCTGAGCTGCGTGTAAATGGCAGCTAGGAGCGGGCCGGACTCAGAACCGGAACAAAGCTGCACCCGGGGCCCTGCATTGCCCTGCCCCCAGCAGCCCCCGGCTTCTCTCGGCTGCGGGAGTGGAGCTGGGGAATGAATGCGGGCATTTAAACCGAGATGGTTTGCTGCCCCCTGCCGGTGTCTGCGGCCCCCTGCGGGTGCCTGCGGCCCCGTGCTGCGCTCCCTGGCTGCTGAATCTCCTCCCTGCGCGCTGCGACCCATCCCGAGAGCGCGTTTGCTTGGTTTTACCGCACTGTAACTGCCTACAAGCGCAACCCTGGCTACCGAACCGGAGCCGGAGCCAGCCCAGCCCAGCCGCACGGTCCTGGCCATGCAGCAGCTGCTTGTTCCCAGGGCTGAGCACGGGCAGCCTCTGGGGTTGCCTGATTTACACCATCGCGTGTGTTGATCGCAAGGCTGTGAACGGTGCAAACCGCCCCGGGCCAGCTTCCCCCCGTGGCGTGGCGTGGCGGGGGCGATGCTCCAGCCGGTTCCGCCTGCAGGTGAGGACTGTGCCAGGGGCTGGGGCGCTGCTTTGTCTTACCAAGCCCCACGTTTCGGGCTCTGTTTGGACGGGAAGCGGCTCCGTTTGCCAGAGCCTGCGAAGTGCGCGCCGGTTCATTATTGTTCTGGGGCAGGTTTGCGTCCTGGTGTGTGTTACCCACACGCCTTTAAGAAGGGCTGTCAGGGTGGGGCTGCCGGGCTGCCTAATTACTGCGCACCAGCTGCCACCACCTCGGTATGGTGCGTGGCTGGCGTTGCAAAGACCCTGTTGCGGAAGCCTGGCGTGGGACCTGAGAGCAGGTCCTTGCACCTCAGCGGTATTTTAAGGCTCCTCCTCTGAATTCCGGCAGCAGGTTCTGCACCCGGCGGCCTTGCGGGGGAGATGGAGGCTGCCCGAGCTGGGGGTCGCTCCATAATCTCGCTGTGGCACTTTTGGTCAGGAGTCCAATAAGATCCAGGGGTTCCCCCCCGTCTAACCATCACCTCATTGGGCGCCTGGCGAGCATTTGTCTGCCTCTCTGGGTGCCCCGTAAACCCGCCGGGGAAGGCAGCCAAAGGGGCTGGCTGGGGGCCCGGCAAACCCAAAGAAACGCCTTTCCCATGGGGCTTTCGGGTCTCCCCTCGCAGGCAACGCAGGCCCGAGTCAGGAGGCTGGAGACCAGCGGGGTTTCCCCTCCGTAAGAGCTGGGAGCCCGCGGCACACGGCTCATGGAGGGCGGAGGCCTCCACACGGGGACAGTGCCAGCAGGGCCACGAACGCCTCACCGGGCGCCTTTGCGGGGATCAGCGGCCCCCGTTTGCCAGGGCACTGACACGGGACGCAGCCTGGTGAAAGACCCTGGGGCTCGCTCAGACCCGGTTTGTATCCCAGCCCGCGCCTTTCGCGGGGGTGGTGTCTGGCTTTGCACGTCCCAAGTCTGGGTCCCGGAACGCACCAGAAAGACTGAAAACCTGCCCCGCGAGCACCCCGCAGGGCGCCCAGAAATCTGTCCTTTGGATTCAAACCTTCCTTTACCGCAGAGCCGAAGAAAAGCAGGGGCTGGGCTTTTTAGCCGTGTCCTCATTAACCTCCCTTTGCTGCCCCGCTGAGTGTAGCTGTCCGCATCTGTGCGCGGCACACTGGTGGCGAGGCGGAGAGGTAGAAAGGGCCGCACAATGCGGCTTTTCTCCTGGAGGTCCCAGCAGGAGACTCGCCTTTCACACGCGTTTACTTGCCTTCCACAGAAAGGGCTGGGAAGCAGGGCGCTTGGGGACAAGTGACGCTGAGGGGTTAGATCTGGGCACGGGAAGAGAGGGGCACCGCCCGGGGAGGGGACAGGAGGGGGAGACGGCAAAGAACCGAGAAGGGGGCCGTGGTCCCGCCGGAGCGCTCACGTGCAAAGGTGAACTGCAAAGGGTTCCACGCAGGGAACGTGACTCGAAGCCTTCAGCCAGCTCGGGTGGGCCCCGGGACTTTCCTCCTCCGGAGTCTTCAGGCTGCGGGCCAGAGAGTCCAAAAACTGGAGCGACAGGGACTGTTTCCTTCCTGCCTGGCCGAGTGAAATCCTGGCCCTGAAAACGTCAAAGGAACAGCAAGAAACTGGACCTACCAACCCACTTCCCGCGTGGGAGCTCGCTGCGACCCCGAACACCCTCCCAGCAAAACAGCCCGGGCCCGGAGCTGCCCGCGGAGCCCCCGCCAGCCTGGAGGGGGAGGCCTCCCTGCCTTGCGCTTAGCCCCTCACTGCAAGAGGAGCTGAAGCGCCTTGGGGTGCGAACTCCGTCCCTACCGGCCCGCGAACGGGAGCCCAGGCTGCCTGCCCTGGGGAGGAGAGGTCACACCTCGGGCAGAGACCCCCCCGACTTGTCACCCCCGCCCGGACAGTCTCTTTGCGCAGGCCAGAGGGAGCAGCCGCGGGCCCCAGGCTCTTGGTGCTGCTGACCCGGGCTCCCGGCTCTGGAGGGCTCCCGGCTGGTTTCATTTTCGCTTGGCTGCTGCGCCCGGTGCAAGGTCCACGCTGCCCCGGGCAGGGTATTTTAAAAGGTGTTCTGGCGCAGCGCGTGCAAGAGAAGGGCGAGTCTGGGCCCGGTGCCTCTCGGGGCAGCCCCCGGCTCCCACCAGGGTTACCCCCACTCCGGGGGCGCAGCGGGCTCTCTCCGCCTGTGCGCTGCATTAGCGTCTCTTCTCCGGCAGCCGCGCCCTCCCCGGGCAGCCAAGCGCCCGCCCGCCCCCGGGGGCAGCCGGCTCCTGCCCCATTGCCCAGCTCCGCCTGCCCCCGGCTGGGCAGGTAGGGCTGAGCCGCCCGTGCCCAGGCTGCGGGAAGGCGCACGCGGGGCGCGCTCCTCTGGCTGCTCCGCAGGTGGGAGACGCGCAGGCCCGGCTCCCCCAACGCCCCGGAGAGGGAAAGACACTTGGGGGGAGCCCCGGAATCCCGCGGTACTGCGCGGCCCAGGGCTGGGCAGCGGGGTGCTGCTCGCCCTCCCTCGGCCCCGGAGCACTGTCCAGTGCCGCTCAGAGCCTGGCCCGGGGCCCAGCGCTTTGCGCCGCCAGCGCAGCGCACGCGGGGCCAGGCGCAGGAGCGGCCAGGCGAGGGGGGCTCAGAGACCAGCCCCTTCCTCCCGCGGGGCGAGAGGAGGGATTAAGCCCAGGCCCCGCCAGTTGAGCGAACCGGCCGCGTTTGCTGCGGCTGGAAAAGGAGCCGGGGCGGCCCGGCCCCCACCCCCCAGGGCGGCGTTGTGCTTTTTAACAGCTGAGGAGTAATATCAAGAAGGCCTCTGCCCCAGAACTGCTGGGAACGGCGAGGGCAAAGGGCCTTGTTGCTCCAGAAAGCTTCCCCGCTCAGGTGAGCTAACAGATCCTGCAGGAAGAGCCTAGCGAAGCTTTAAGCAGGCTGTCTGCACCCCCTGCTCCTGGCAGGTTTGGGCCCCGTGAGATTAGTTCTCCCCTGCTCCAGCAAAAACAGGGTTTGATACTTGTAAGTATCCTTGGAAGAGGGAAACACCTTCCAGGAGCAAAGCTTCCAGTTCCAGCCCCCTTCCTGCACCTGCTCGCTCACCTTTCTTTTCAGGGCCCCTTGAGGAGCACACCGGGTCCTGGGAGGCAGTTTGGGGTCTGAGTCTCCCTTGCTCTCCTAAGACGCCCCAAAGCACTGCAGCTGCCCCAAGGCACGGCTGGTAAAAGAGAAAGGCAAAGGTGGGCCAAAATCATGGACAAAGAGGCCTCTTCTGCATTAGGTACCTTGACTAACTGAGGGTGGACAAGGCGTTCCAAGGGAATTCATGGCAAAGGCCATACTCATGGGGCTAAACATTGCTGACAGAATGATGTAAAGCTATAAGTTGGTCAGAAAGTGGGGAGAGCCTGACTTGCACCCCTCCTTTGGTTTACAAAGCACGTGTCGCTGATCCCTTCTATTGGGCAGGGGCCAAGCCAACCTTTGTGGCCCCTCGCGCTGAACTCAAGAGAGGGCTGGGCGAGCTTAGACCAGGTCCAGATTTTAGCCCCAGCTGCACTAGGGAGGATGCAGTGTGAGTAAGAGGGTGGTGGAAGGTGCTTTGGCACTTGCTTTTCTTGCTTCCACCTTTCCCCGCCTCCCTCTCATAATATCACCTCTGGTGCGCAGTGACCCAACAGGGATTCACTGGCAGCTAAGCTACAGGAAAGCTGATTTCCCCCTTCCCTCTCATTGCAGAACTCCTTCTCTTGGGGAGCTGTCACACTTTCTCCGCATCCTAATCATGGTGGTTTGTTCCCCACTAATACAGGCACAGGGTATAATGCTCAGCTAAGTCAGGGGCATTTGCCTGGTAGAAGTTGGAGCAAGGTGACTGAATTCCCATTCTCGTGTTCTAGTCCTAGGTCTGTGACTGACACAGTCTGTCACTGGGACAGGGAAAGGTCCACGTCACACGGTGTCTCTTGGCTGTGCCATGAAGCCTAATGTCCGGGAAAGGTTGTGAGACAGTCACCTGGAAAGTACAGTTACGCAGCCCATCACCCCATGCTGCACAGCAGTCTGAAAAGTTTAAAAAAATATTTATTGATATACTAACATGAATAAAAACATTATACAAAGTTGTCTGACATACCAACTTCTAGTGTTTTCCTGCAAAATAAATTAAAAGCAGCCTAGAGGTCTGGAGTCTACACTAGCATTAGTGTCCAAAAATACTAGAAAACATCACAAAATGCAAGGAAGCCAACTCTAGGGTCACCAAAGGAACCCCAACCACTGACTTGAACACACTGCAAGCTCAATGGGCAGTCATTGTCTTCAGGTAGGCAGCCCTTATTTAACCTCTGGGCTGGGCTGCGGTCTTGTTTCCAACAAAGAACTCAAGCTTTCCCCGGGTTATAACATATCCAACGCTTGTTCTCTAAAAAGCAAACACACTGTAGTAGTTTAAAGCAATCAGAAGTGGCATACAGGAATGATTTGGCTTTTTTAATAATAAAAAATAATAAATGCAAATCAGGCAGTAATTGGCACTGTGACAAGAACAATTGTTTTCACACACACACTTCCTCAGTTTCTTTTAGTAGAACCTTTTCTTTTTGGGTCCAGAGTCCTTCACATCTAGGTCAGCCTCAGAACCAAAACAAAAAGAATCAGCTCCCAAGAACTCCAGTTTTTTGGTACAATATATGTATAAAAATATACTAAACTCCTAAGGAAGATGACTGAATTGTCCACTTTTTCCAGTCCAATGAAAAACCCCTTTACTTCACCAGATTATGCCAGGATAAAATACCGATTCAATATACAAATACTGCAGTACTATTCCCGGGGAAACCCCTTAAGACTAAAAATAGTGACAAACCTCTAATTGGTTTTTTTGACATGCAACTAAAACACAAACTCATAGCAGCAAATTTTATAAAAGGTAGACTTTGAAGACTAATTTTATTGGTAAACACAATTAGCACCAGCTTTTTAAACTTCAGTCCACAAAAGATTAAATTAAAATGCACAATTTGCCTTTGAGAGGCTGACTTCAAAGTTAAACTTTCACTCAGACACACACACACTCACTCACTCACTCACATTGTTAAGGGGAGTCAACACATTTAATGCCAGATTAAAGGGGGGAGGAAGAATGAGATGAAAGCAAGGTGTTTCCAGATTATCACTTTCACAGTCTTTATAACTTTGGGATTGAAACAGCTGGTTAACAGAAAGGCACAATGTTAGCATTGGCAAAGCAGGTTCCCACTGCTACAGGAGGGGGGGAAAACCCAGTTTTATAAGTGGCTGGTGCTAAAAGAAAGCCAGTTTCCATTTGTATTACAAGTTTCCAGGGCAAAAATTAAGAATCCCAAGAAAACATCACCCAGACTCTGAAAGGTCTTTGAGTGGGACCAAGCCATCAAGTGTGAATACAATTTAATTTAGCACTGGAATTCTGAATGGGGACATCTTACGTAGAGCCCGTCTAGGCTGGAGGACTCTGCACCGCAAGTACGCAGATGTGGTTTGCACTGTTTGTAAAGGAAGGCAGGCATGCAGCATCAGTGCAAACCGGTACCCACCATGATTAGTCACACCCGTCCAAGCCCTGTCCTCCGCCAGTGCAGCCCTCTTGACACCCCAGAGTAAAACCACAGGCACTGACATTACACGAGTAGGGACGGAGAAGCAGGTTTCTATCATCTTGATACAGTCCCATCAACTGGCCCCTCTCCAGACCAGCGTCAAATGCCATTTTTCAATGGCCACCCCAGCAGGTTGTTTACACAGACCCATCACCAGCCTTATTCTCAGGATTTCTGGGTTCATCCCTGTTGAAGCAGCTTCTTCCCTCTCTGTGTTCAGATGCCAACCTCAGAAAGGATGGTGCAGTTCCCTTTGGACACACACCAGCTGCTATCATCACCAAAGCAGGTGTACCTGGGGATCCACATAAATGCTGGGGTGCCACACTGCTGAGGAGGGTCCTCTCCCCTGCCCCTCACCTACGTCCTTACTTTTCACAGGACCCTGGACTAACCCAGCTTTGCATAAGCACAAGACAGCTATCAGTGACCTGTCCCATGGGCAAGGCTGGGACAGCACATTCCAAAAGGCACATTGTAAGTTACTTTCATTTGGATTTGCAAAGGCCAAGTAGTAAATATTTGGTGTGTGAGGAAGACAGCCAGCCACAGCCTTTGAGATGTCCAGACCCCTCTTGTTCATTACTGAAGGAAAGGATCTGCCAGCATCCCCATGTCTGGGGCTTCAGAACACATGTGGCAAAGGCCACCGCAGGGGTAAAGGCTTCTGAACCCACAAGCTATTTTTTTCTTGACGTTCTCAAAGTCGCAGTAGTTAGTTTGGCTGCATGTGAATTATGAGGTCAACTGAATAACAGACGTTACTTTTTGGCACCAGGGAGCTCCAAAGCAAACCCTCCTCGCGGACAAAACTGGTCTGACCCACCTGACCCTTGTCCCACGCACTTGAGGAGGACAGCTCTTACGCTGGATAGTGCAGCCAGCCACACCACCGACAATCCCTGGGCTGGCAGAGGCTGCGGGAGCTCTGCTGCAGCAAATCTGAAGTGAGCTCCTTGCCCCTAGGTTGACTGTTAGAGCATCAATTACTTTGGGAGGGAGCCACAGCGAAGGCCGTCTGGCTGGCAGAAAGGTCACTGACTACAAGGGGGTGGAAACCCCCACCCCACAAATCCACCTGGTAATGTTCAAGGTAGGAACCATTCTATAAGATTAAGGGCTTGTCAACTCAAACTGGACCCAATCTTAGGTTTGTTAAAAACGAAACCTAAATCCATTAAGGTTTGTGAATTAAATACAAAACCCAGTGGAACCTTCCCTGGCAACCCAGACACCGCAGAACCAACAGTAATAGATTATAAACCTCCCTGACCTGAGAGAACAGTAGAACAGCCCGTCCAGGCCCAAAGGAACTCGCATTTTAAATGCCTGGCCACATCAGAGCAGTAAAACAGAATCTAAGAAATATACGTGCGCCTATATTCACCTAAGGGGCCTGCAGCCTTTGGCTCTTTACGAGTTGACAGCATCCCTTTGGTAGCCCAGCTGCTCCTGACACTGCAGGTGCTCCATACTGTGGTCGAGGAAGATGCACGTCACTGGGGCAGGGATGTAGCAGGTGAACCCACCCACTTTGAAGCGGCACCTAAACACACTGACCCGACAGCCCAGTCGTTGGCCACCCTGCTGCAGGGATCTTTCAAGGGCTGCCTTTTGCAGGCATGTTCTTATAGCACATGAAGGTACCAGGCTGCCCCTGCCACACACCCAGGAGAGTTCCAGATCACTACAATCGCAAAGGCTGCATTCAAACAGAGTTCAGCACGAGCCTCCTTGTCTGCCTGAAGCAGGCTCCATCCAGAGCCTGCCAAAGGCTGTCCCTGGGGAACTGCTGCTTGAGAGGTAGTGAGGTGTGTGCTCTCCCCACCCCAGCGACGTTGGGCCCCACCCTAGGAGGCTTTGAGCACCCGGAGTTTCCACTGACATCAATGTGAATTGAAGGCACTTGGCAGCACCCAGCTTGAGCCCTGCGTGCAATGCCTCCACCACGCTCATGAAGCCTGCTAGCAACAGGAGCTCGGCAGGAATTCTGATCCCACAAACGCTGTGTTTTAACCGGTTCCAGAGCCGCAGCCGTGTTAGTCTGTATTCGCAAAAAGAAAAGGAGGACTTGTGGCACCTTAGAGACTAACCAATTTATTTGAGCATAAGCTTTCATGAATGCATCCGATGAAGTGAGCTGTAGCTCACGCAAGCTTATGCTCAAATACATTGGTTAGTCTCTAAGGTGCCACAAGTCCTCCTTTTCCTTTTGTGTTTTAAGCCTCACTCATTCCTAGTGGTAGCATCAAGACAAGGCTAATGGCAAGTCAGAGCCCCAAGCTGCCCGCTATACCCTGCCTCATGGCATCTACAAACCTCAGACCTAGTAGAAAAGGTTTCTCCATTGTGCTTGAGCCTCATAGTGGGTCTCCAAGTAGCAGGTGGCTTTAGGCCCAGGGCTGCAAAACCTACGCACAGTCCTGAAGGACGTGTGTGCATGCAGCAAGTTAAATCCTGCCACAAGTATTTGCATGTAGCATGTGAAGTGTTAAAGATACTGGGACAAAGAAAAGGCCTGGATTTGGAGAGCACTGGGCTGCCCAGCACTAAATTGTCCAGACTGGTTCCCAACCCTGACTTCTCTTCTTTCACGCACACAGAGACATTCACAGCAGCAGCTCATACTGCTTGCAGCCCTGGCCAACTGCTGATCAGCCACCAGCTCACGCTGTGCACCTCAAACGTGCCACGTGTGGTGTGAATGCAGGCTGTGACGCCCATTCCCACCACAGCGGGTCTGGGTTTGCCAGCGACAGTAACAGGTTTAGTCTGAAGGCCCCTTGCCCCCCACCTCCCTTCTGAACAAGGGAGGATTTTGTATAAAAATGTAAACAATATTTCCATTTCATTTGCAAAACATCACAAGAGAACGAGCAGTCACTTCACGCTCATCACTGGGAGCAACCTAGCCCAGGAGGGTAGCTGGGCTTAAACTAATGTCCCCTGAAAACCCCCACATCTACAGGCAACTCCCCCCACCCCGCAGCATGCGGAACCCTGTGGAAGTTGGCTGTCTGATTTGGATTGAGTCTGACTGTCCCAGGAGATAGTGGGCAGATTTGTGCTAATGCCTAGAAGGAAAAAAAACCCTCACTTTTTCTTAAGGAAAAGCTTTAGCCTGTTACATTGCATGACCCCATAGCCCTCTCCCCACCTGTCCAGGTACTTGTACACGTGGTGTTCTGACATTTCAAGAGGTACAGCAAAGAAACCCAAGCACAGAGAAACCTGGTTTACCAGTCACTTGCTAACCACTTTTTAGCAGCCAGCTAGCCAGTCTTAATCCCCACCAGAGAACCACTGCATTAACCTTACTCTGTGCCACCTGCTATAGTGGTCAGAAAAACAGAATGGCCTTTGGTAGCTGTTAACAGGTTTCACTGCATCCTACTCCTCCCAGCCTTCAGAAAAAAATCTCGACTGGCTCCAGGAGGCCTCCAGAGATACAATGACCCTCCAAGAACAATGCTGACCGGCAATGGCAGAACGCTTTGTTGGGGGAGGCCGGGGTCTTGTTCAATAGCCAATTGCTTATAGGGGCAGAGACACCTGATTTTTGCCTCCCCAAATCTCATTGCCATCTGGCATTCACTTGAAGAAAAACCAATGAAACAATGGGAAAGAGGCATCAGAAGGGGCTATGGGAACCCATCTCCCCACCTCGCACCTCCTGGTTCAGTAATGTCTAAGATTGAAGAACCCAACACTGGTGGGAGACTCCTTGACGGTCACTGTAATCAGGTTGGCTGTCACGTCTGTGACAAAGACGTGTTCAATCAGGCTGCGGGTGGGTTTCCAGTCCTGGCTGGTCTGGATGGAGACTGACATGTTCTGGCCCATACCAGGAAACGAGGCAGAATCCCGATCCGAATCGGAGCTGGTCTCCTCTTCGCCGGTGCTCATTTCAGACAGGGCTGCCGGCTTGCGGTTCTCCGTTGTGGGGTGCCCCTCTGGCGCACATGGGACTCCACTTTTTGTCACCTCTCTTTCCCCAGCAGCTGCTCTTTGCATGGGTTTCTCGTTTTTGCAGGTATCCACGCCTGGCGGCAGCCCAGCATTTTGGGCATGCAGCCCTGTGCCCACCCTGTTGCCCTTGGCAGCGGCTGCCCCCACATTCGCAGCCTCGGCACCAGCACTTTTGGCCAGAGTCCCACAGACATGACGAGGGAGGCTGCTGCCAGCGGCTGAATTCGGCCCATTTTTGACACTCTGTAAGTTTAAAGCTTGAAGGTTCAGCTCCTGATGGGACGTCAGCTGGCTTCCTGGGGCAGGGGAATTCCCAGGTGCCTTGCTGCCATTGTGCAGGGTCTGAGCCCCAGCAGTGAAGCCGGATTTCTGATCCCCCCCAGCACCACTGCCGAGTGCCTTGGCTGTTTTGGATCCTGGCACATTCAACCCAGGCTCCCCAGGTCCTTTCTGGTTTCTCATTTTTAAGTCCAGTCCTAGGCTACTCTTGGTGGCTGCCTGTGACTTGAGTGCCAGCCTCCCTGGGAGCGGAGCCTCTGCAGAGCTCTGGTTTTGGGACATCCTGTTCATGTAGTGCACAATAGAACTCTGCCAGCTGATCCCGTGGTTTGGGCTCCCGGAGGAGCCCTTCAGTATATTGGGCAGGTTCTCAGCAGATAAGCCCCCTGGACCAAGCCCACTCAGTGCACTTTGGGGCTCTTTCACATTAGATTTAAGCACAGCAATACCTGAGCCCTGAGCATTGTGTTGGGGCTGTAATTTCCCCATTAGTTTAGAACCTCCCCCCGTCTCCTTTCGGGTGGTTTTCAGCACCTTGGCCACATTCATGGTCCTTCTGGCTGCCTTCTGCTCCGGAGGCAGAGGTTTCCGCCCACGCTTCTTCCTGACAGGGTCTTTTATTTCCGGCTTCGCAACCAGAATCTGAGCTTTCTTCTGTGGCACTGGGTGAGTCTCTCTGCTCCGGGGACCTCTCTTTGCCTCCAGGTCACTCTCATCCTCTTCATCAGAGGAGGAGGAAGATGAAGAGGTAGAGGATGAGGAGCTACTTGACTTGATTTTTGGAGGCACCTCTGGTTCCTTTAAAACAAAAATAAAGAGGGAGCAGGGAGAACATTAGCTTGAATTAAGATAGCTGGCAGAACTGAGTGTGGCTACGTTCTTCAGCAAGATAGGAATTTGTTCCTGGTGAGCCCATGGATCACTGCATTACATGCACCAGTCCCTGACTGTGCGCAGGCCTCTACTCTGCAAAGGGTTAAAGAGCCCCCACTGCACACAGGCCAGATCTAATATATTGCCCTCAAATTCCATGTGACTCCCACTCTTCTGTCCCCATCATTGCTGATGAGCAATTACCAAAGTATCTGGATAAAGAGAAGCTCCCCCTATCCCTGCCCCTTATATGCAACCTCAGAGACACATTCCTGGGTACATTCTGCTCTCAGAACAGCGTCTCCTGGCAGCTCTGTGCCCTCCCATTCTCCAGTGGAAATCCAAGACGTAGGATCCATTTCAGCAACATTGAACACTCCACATTATGACACAAGAGGTTGTAAGGGACCTTTCAGACAAAGAACTGTCCCAAGAACGGCCATTACCCCACCACTCCACACATCACCACTGTTACTTACCACATGTTTCCTGGGCCTGCCTCTGGGTCGTTTGCCCCTCTTCCGATTCTGCACCTCTTTCTCATGTTCCCTGCAAACACACCAATTGAGGACAATGCTGCACCCAGGAGCCAGTCTACTTCCTCTCTTATCAGCAGAGACCTTTTGTTTGAAATGCTGCACGACTCAGTTCTAATCCAAGCAGCAACAGATACTCGGGAGCATTATACTTGTGACAAACACACAGCAACCTTTCCTGGAGAGCTCCAAGCCTACAGAGTTCACACTGGCCCAGGCTGTTTGTTGTGGGTTTGGGAAAGCACCCAGGTCATTTTGTAAGTGCAGTGGGGGGAAGGAATTCTGCTGCGGTCTCTGGGAGTCACAGAATAGCTCTCCCAGCAGAGCAATATGTAGACTATTTACCCCATGGCAACAGATGCTGGTTACTGGAATAGAAAGTCTGCTATTGTAGACTGTGTGTGAAGTTCTTATAGCAGCCAAGCTGGCAGCATCGCAGCAGTTGCCAAGCTCTGCACTGCCAGTGTGATGAAGGAAAGAGACCTCCTGGAAACAGGATCACAGCAAGGTGGTGCTGGCGAAGAGGCATCGCTGTCCTCTGCTAGATGATTCCCTATGACAATAAGAGGCCACAAAAGGGCCCTCTGACTGTGAGGCAAGATGCCATATAGGAATGGGAATTATGGGATGGAGAAGAGGTTATAAGAACAGTGTCTCCAGAGCAAAGTGATGGCTGACTGAACACCAGAGTCCCTTGCTCACTTTTTAACTGCTGCAACCTATTAAACAGGTCACTGTGCCACCCACAATAATACCTAGTTTTTTTTAAAAACAAAGGGGATTTAGAAACCCGCTATAACTAAGGCCAATCATAAAGTTCAGTGTTTTTATATTAGTGCAAAGGCAAAAGATTTGCCAGCACTGTGACGAACGTAGCCAGAGGGCTCTATCTGCACCCCAGTGCACACGGAGCTCTCGTTCCCTTAGCTAATCATACACTCTGATTGCAGAGCTGCCCCCTCCCGATACAAGCACTGAACATGACAGGCAGCCCCTCGCCTCTAGCCCCGCCAGCCCGCCCAATCACTGCCAGGGGACACCTATCACATTCCTCCGACAAGTATGGATTTTTAAAATAAGTTTGTTTCTGTAATTCTGGAAACTGCCTCTGTCTGTGCATGCAGCCGACAGGGAAGGACAACCAATGCCCAGACCTTCAGATCAGAGGTCAAGTGCATTGAGCTCCCAGTGCTCCTTTCCAAGCTACATGTGGGTATGGCGTGCCAGGGCAGTCACATTGCACAGTCTATGTAAAATGCACTCTGATCTGGCCCCAAATTAACCACATTTATAACACTTGGTAGCCCTCTATGAACCTGAACTGTTAGTTTAGATTATCACCATATTTTAGCCTAATGAGCTCTTCAGTATGAGGTTTGCAGGACTTCCAAAGACCGAATGATGGATCAGACATTGTTCATCCAACAACAACAACCAGAAGTATTTATAGTTTGCTCACTTCTTTTGGAAGGCAAGGAGCAGCCTTGGATCAAGAATATTCTCTTCAGGTTCCCAGCTGTTGTGTCTGGAAAAGAAGAGTAAACACACCATAGAGACCAGCAGCATGAAAGCATTTTTTTGAAGTTTGGATTAATAGATGGAATATCATCGGCCCAAAAGCAGCTCACACGACAGCCTGAGAACAGTGAAGCTGAGAACAGTGCGCAGGCTCCAAGCAAAGCCCCATCTTTGAATGACCCCGAAGTAATAATCCCGCAGGGGAAGTCGGGGTTCTGCTGCAAACGCTGCAGAAATGGCCACGCCCCTACGTAGGATGCAAACCCCATGCTCATGAGAGTGCTCTGAAGAAGATGCTCTGGAGAGCAGAAGTGACTCTGGAAAGGGGGTGCTGGATTTTGGGGGGAAACAGCCTCCCCTCCCTTGCCCTGGGGTCAGAAAACGGCGACGGTCTAGAAAACGCGAAGCGTATTGACTGACAGGGGGCAACCCCTGGATGAGCCGAAGGATTAAGGACAACAATGTGTGCGCTGCGGGGAGGGGGCTGAAAGGCGAAGCGGAGCGAAAACCCGGAGAGGAGCCTGGGCTCCCAGGAGCAGCCGGCGGGAGGAGTGAACAGAAAGGGTCCCCGCCAGGCTGCCAAATCCCTCCCGTTCGGGGCACGGCGCAGCCCCACAGGCATCAATGGGAAGCTCAGGTTTCATTCAGCGGGCGAAGCATGGACACCCAGGCAGCTCCCCCGGCCCGTCCCCGCCGGAGCGGGGCCCGCTCGGAGCCGCCTGCGCCAGCCCGGGGGCCGGGGCCGCAGCACCAAGCGTGCGCCGGGGCCGGGGGGGGGGGCACTCCTTGGTAAACAAAAGGGACCCGGGGCCGGGACGCGGCGCCTCCCGAACAAAAGCAGCGAGGAAGGGGCCGCAGCAAGTTGCCGCCCCGCGGCCCCCCGCCCCACAGCCGCCCCGCGCCGCCCCGCCCCGCCCCGCACTCACTTGGAGGACCAGCCTCGCCACTTCACCAGATACTCCAGCTTGCCCTGCGGGGGGAGAGAGAAGCGGTTAGCGCCGGGCCTGGCGGGGAGGATGCCCGGGAGCTGGGGGGGGCAGGGGCCGGGGATGCCCGGGGATGCCCGGGGCCGGGCGCCCACCTTGCGGAGCCGCTTGCTCAGGATGCACTCGGCGGCGAAGACCTGCTCGCCCACGCTGCTCAGCTCCTCCATGGCGCCGGCCGGCTCCGCTCCGCGCCCCGCCGCCCCGAGCGAGCCAGCGACACACAAGGGGACTCGCCGGACGGAGCCCTGAGGCGCGCCCCCGACCGCCGCGTGCACCCGCATCCCCCCCCCGGCGCGCTCCCGCGGCGGGGCACACAATGCAGCGCGCGCGCGCCCGGCTCCTCCCCCACCCCTAGCTCAGAGGCTCCCCAAATTCCCAGGGAGCCAATGGGGAGGGGAGGGGAGGGGAGGGCGGAGACCGGCGGCTGGGGAAGGGGACGGGGTCAGGCTGCTGCAGAAAGGAGAGTGATTGTCTCGGCGCGACCCCTCCCCTTCCTGCCCAGCCGAGGGGATTCGCTCCCCCTGCCCCTCGCGTGGACCCTGGCCGTAATCCCAGGCAGAAGAAGTGAGGCGCCCGTAGGTTTCCGCCGGGCCCCAAGCACCCTCCTGCCGCACCCGCAGACCCTGCGCTCCTGCCGCACAGAGGCTGCGAAGCCGCATGTGCAGGGGCAGACGTGAAGCTCCAACTCCGAGACCTGCAGCTGGGATCCTGACACACGGCGTAAGCCGGGGGCGCTCCCAGCGAGTGCTCCGTGGCTGCTGGCTGCTCCGATCATTTTTCCTAAAATACGTAATTAACTTTAGGGAAAACAAATAAGTAGGCGCGGGCACATGTCCAAATCCTTGTAATTTATCCGCCTAGTTTCTTTTGTTTCTTTTTTGCGGCAGACTCGATAATAACAATAGCGTACAGTGGTCTCTCTTCTTTACTGGACCTAAGCGGAATAGAAACACAAATAAGGGGCGTTGAGCATTCTTGTCGTTTTTCTTGTTGTTTCTTTTGCTTTTTAAAAAAGACATGCTAGCTACAGCGTGTGCTGTGAAGAGTGATATGAACAAACATACAAATCTCTCTTTCACAGCAGACTTACTGAGCCCTGGACGGTGAGGTGGTAATGGGAACCAGGGGTAGTGGGGCAGCAGGGGGCCAGGGGTGAAGGCTCAGGGCCAGAGTCTGGCACCACATAGCTAGGGGACAGGGCCTGGGGATGAAGCCCTAATCCCCTCGGCTAGAGCCTGCCACCCGCCATCCCAGGGCTGAAGCCCAACCCCACCACCCCCAGGAAGGTGGGAAACTCACTGGCTGCCTCCTCTAGCTTGTGTGTCTCCAGAGGAGGGCAGGGTCCAACACTGGTGGTGGCCCATGAGGAGGGGCTGCTGCTTTGCTCCCCCATCACCGCCCAGGAGGCTGTGGCGGCAAGAAAAGCCCCTGGTAGCTGCATATGGCTGCAGTGGACACATTTGAGAGAAGCTGGTATAAACTGAGTTATACCCTCAGCCGAGCTGATTGGAAAATGCAAAAGAAATCAATTCTGCAAACGTTTTTGACATTTTAAAGTAGTGTTTGTTTTTCAGGGTTTGAAATGGGCCTAGTCTTCATCTCTCTCTATTTTTTGCATATCTTTAATTGAAATTGTTTTCAAAATGGGTATCAAAACTTTTCATTTATCAAACCCAATTTTGATAATCATTTTGATTTAAAAAAAATATTAAAAATGATGAAAAACCCAAAACACTAGATAATATTGGGCTACTTTTTGATAAAAAGACCTTTAGTTCAAAAATGTTTGTCTAGCTCTAACCATAAGCAATGGTTTATTAAAAAAATAAAATATTATATAACAAACAAGGAAAGAGGAAATTAATTGATAATAATGAATATAAATCAGGAATTATGAAAAAATGATAAGAGAAGCAAAGGTACATGAGGAGAAATCTATGGCCAGTAGAGTTAAGAACAAGGAGTTTTAAAAAATATTTTAGGAACAAAAAGCATTCTGACAATGGTACTGAGCCACTACTGGATGGACACAGTAGAATTATTAATAATAATGCAGAAAAGGCAGAAGTGTTCAATAACTATTTCTGTTCTGTACCTGGGGAAAAACAGATGATATAGTTTCATTATATAGTGATGATAACTTTCTTTCCATTCCACAAGAATCCCAGGAGAATATTAAACAGCAGCTACTTAAGTCAGACATTTTAAAATCAGCAGGTCCAGTTAACTTGCATTCCAAAAATTTTAAAAGAGCTGGCCGAGGAGCTCGCTGGACCATTAATGTTGATTTTTCAGTAAGTCTTCGGGCACTGGGGAAGTTCCCAGTACTGGAAGAAAGCTAATGCTGCGCCAGTTTTTAAAAAGGGTAAACGGGATGTCTTGGGTAATTATAGGCCTGTCAACCTGACTCTCATCCTGAGAAAGCTAATGGAGCAGCTGAAAATGGGACTTAATTCATAAAGAACTAAAGGAGAATAATTTAATTAATGCAAATCAACATGGATTTATGAAATATAGAGCCTGTCAAACTAACTTGATATCTTTTTTTAATGAGATTACATGTTTGGTTGATAGAGGTAATAGTGTTGTTGTAACTTCTGTAAAGTGTTTGATTTGGTACCCTGTGACATTTTGATTAAAAAACTAGAACAATAAATGGATTCAAAACTGACTCTCTGATAGGTCTCAAAATGTAATTTTAAATGAGGAATCATCAATGAGCAGGCATGTTTCTAGTGGGGTCCCACAGAGTCTGGTTCTTAGCTGTACTCTTATTAACATTTTTATCAGTGACCTGGAAGAAAACATAATATAATCACTGACAAAGTTTGCAGATAACACAAAACTGGGGGAGTGGCAAATAATGAAAAGAACAGGTCACTGCATTAGAGCAATCTGGATCACTTGTTAAACTGGGTGCGAGCTAACAATAAGCATTTTAATACATCTAAATATAAATATGTACATCTAAGAACAAAGAACATCAGCCATACTTACATGATGAAGGATGCTATCCTGGGAAGCTGTGACTGTGAAAAAGATTTGCGAGTCATGGTGGATAATCAGCTGACCATGAGCTACCAGTGTGATGCTGTGGCCAAAAAAGCTAATTCAATCCTGGGATGTATAAACAAGGGACTCTCTAGTAGGAGTAGAGAGGTTATTTTACCTCTATGTTTGGCACTGGTGTGACCATTGCTGGAATTCTATGTCCAGATTTGGTGCCCACAATTCAAGAAGGATGTTAATAAATTGGAGGAGTCAGAGATGAGCTACAAGAATGACTAAATGATTAGAAAACTCTTCTTCAGGTCAGCTCTGTGTAAGGTTGAAAACTTGTCTCTCTCACCAACAGAAGTTGGTCCAATAAAAGATATTACCTTACCCAGGTTGTCGCTCTATTGTCTGGGACCAACCCGGCTACAACACTGCATTTAATAGATTATGGACCAGATTCTTATCTCAGTTACACCAGTGCAGATGAAAAAAACAATGAGGAATCCTTGTGGCACCTTAGAGACTAACAAATTTAGCTCACGAAAGCTTATGCCCAAATAAATTTGTTAATCTCTAAGGTGCCACAAGGACTCCTCCTTGTTTTTTCTGATACAGACTAACACTGCTACCCGTCTGAAACCTGTCACAGTCAGATGGAGTTATTCTGGATTTACAACAGTGTAGATCAGATCAGACTGACCATATGTGTACTGTTTTCTCCCAAACACAGAACATGCCATATCCATAAGGCTATTTTCCGTTTAGGGCATTTTTTGGAGCATAGAGCGGTTAGCTCTGAGACTAGAATCTAACATGATCAGGATCAGAATTCTTGGAGAATCCCTGAAAGCAGGAAGAGGAAAACAATCATCTTTATTTATGTGCTGTGGTTTGTGGGCAGATTCTGAAGCTCTCTGTTCTTATAACAATAATATGTAATTCTCCTGCTTTGAATGTTATCACATTTTTTTGGTATTTGGTTTTTACAAATTATTTAATTTGTTAAGGTTAAGACAGCTCAAAAGAGCAGCCAGAAGCATGTTGGTATCCAACATACGATGCATGAACAGAGAGGGTCCAAAATCTAATAGAATTCATTTCTTTTTTGTTCCTTTCGTAAAGTAGTAAAGTAAGATGCATGGGCAATGCATCTTAGTATTTACCAATATGCAGAGGGAAAGAGCTCATACCCCTGCATGCATGGGCTATGTGCTGGCACTGTGTAGTCTTCACACTGGAATATTATACATCAGCTCCAGTGACAAGCCAATCTGAATACTCAAGAGTGAGGAATGCATAGAAGTATAACAGCCTCCACCTGGGTGGCAGGCAATGTGAAAAATCCAGTCCTGGGACTACACACATACTCTTCGCCTTGCAAGGACTCTTTCCCTCTAATCTCAGTTATCTGTCTCTGTATTTGTACTGCACTCACCAGTGGAGTTTCTGAGCACTTCACAAGTATGTTAAGGTAGAAATAACAATCTTTTCTTTTGTCCTTCCCCTGTCGGAGAAAAGGCATGTTTGCATGCAGGTGTTTTGTTTGCTTATGTTTGCGAGTGTGTTTATTGAGACAAAGCTAACTCAAAGAGATGAGTTTTGCATTTAGTTCTGAACATGAGTGGAAGATCTGTGGTTTATCTTATCTCTTTCTGGGAGCGAAGGAGAGCACCCTGGGCTTGGGGGCTGACATCCAGATACCGAGACCTTTTTGTTCACTATCTCAGCTTTATCCCTCATGTCCAAAACGATGCCATCACTACAGGAATAACATACATCTCTATAATGCCTTTCACTCCAAAGTGCTTTACAGTTTTATCTGGCACTCTGCTCAGTCTCGGCATGGGGATTATTTTACCCATCTCTGGAGCGAAGTGCTGGCTCCTGGGCTGCTCTGTGTTCTTTCCTGAACTGAAAAGTTCTTCTGTGGCTTGAGAAGGGTTGGGACCAGATTCCCTGAGTCCGAAACTCCCTGCAGCCAGGCTGACATCTGTATATTATAGTTCTAGTTATTTTAGGGACTTGAGAAATCTCTTCCATGTTAATTTGCACAGTGATTACGCTACACTCCATTGTGTCCACCCGTGCATCCCAGTGACACTGCTGGTCAGTTTGCCCAGCCTGGAAGCCAAAATGGTGATGGCTGAAGGCAGTGGCTATTTTATCAATCTACTTTCTATACAAGAGATTGCATGGAGGCCAGAGGGTTGTGGAGAGGACAGGGGGCCCTTCCCTGTGTTTCCAGCTGGAGGCCATAAAGAATCGCAGTGTCAATAACTCTCATGAGTTTATCATAAGGTTTGTGATATTTGGTGTTTTCTCTTAAAGCCCCAGCTCCTGGAGTCCTATGATTAGAAAAGAATCTCAGCTTCCAGAAAAAAGAACAAGAAGTTTCTAGCCCTCATGATTGCAAAGCCTGAAAAGATGACCCATGCCCCAAAAGGCTCATCAAAAGAATCCAACATTTATTATTATATTTTAAAATCTCAGCTTTGGGAGCGGGGCTGACTCTCAGT